CATGTCACATGTCTGTGTGTTCAAAGATGATCCAACAGTGATGCTATCAGTGCCTATGTATAGCTAAAAAGTGAGTTTAGACTCTGCCAGGCCCTCAAGAAGTTACTGCCCTGAGGCCAACCTAGTCGCCATTTATTAAAGAGCTGGTCACTGGAGACTCTGGCTCCTGGAAGGCAGCCCAGTTTCTTAGATCCACACACCCCACTTCTTTACCCACCTCATTGCATCACCCACTCTGAGCTGTGTGACCCATGGCCCTTCCTTTGTCATCTCCACCCAGGCCTCGTGGCAGGCAGACAAAGGGCCCTGAGAGAATCTGTGGTGGTTCAGAGCTTGGGAGTCTTTCTGGGTAGAATCTGTCACTGATTCCTGATGCAGTGGAAAGAACTTGGACTTTGGAGTCGCCAGGCCTCAGTCTAAATCTAAATTCCACCACATGCTAGCTTGGTGACCTTGAGCAAGTTGATGAACTTCTCGGAGCCTCAGTTGGCTCATCACTAAAATGGGAACATGAATTGTATCTTATAGGCATATTTCACGAAACGTGCATGCAAAGCATGTGGCAGATAGTCAATGACTTGCTGTCCCTTTCTGCCCCCTCCCATGTGTGCCAGACAATCGAAGTCTTGTTGGTGCCTGGATGTTCTCTTGGTAGGAATGAATGTTTGCTCATGGCAGGTGAGCAGCATCCCTCCTTGCAGGCACAGCCTTACCTCTCTCTCCAGAACCCGTTTCTGCTGCACAGTCACCTCCGAGAACTTCTTCTGCAGCATGTGCTCCTGCTCCAGGTGCAGCGCCTCCTTCAGGAGCAGCACGTTGGTGCGCTTCTGCACCTCGGCCATAGTGAGCTCAGCCAACTTCAGCTCAAGCTTCCACAGGCCCCTGTCCTTGCCCTCAGCCAGTGGGAGGGGCTGGGGCGGCACACACACCTCCACGTGGTTGACGGTCAGGTTGACTTCTTGGTCCTGGCCCAGGACATATTGGTAGAGTCTGTAGTGGCGGATGAAGGTGTTGTAGAAGTAGTCGCAGAGGGCCAGCAGGTGGGTGGTGTTGAACTGCCCCTGATAATCTCCAAGCTTATTCCTCAGGATGGTAATGGCCTCGGTGATGGAGCAGCCTATGGGCAGAGGGTACGGGCATGGAGTGAAGCAGGGGACGGTTGCATTGATGGCTTGACCAACATAGGCTCTGAACCCAGGCACTCTGACCCCAGAGCCCATGGGGTCAGAGCCTGCCAGCTATTTTATATTACTAGTTATTAGCTTTCAGAAGCTACAGGATGTACTACATTTCCCTTCTTACCTTGGATTCTTGGAAGCTCGAAGCCAATTTTATGTAATAACATTTATCCCATTATTTCCTTATGTGATTATCCTTCTCCTTTCCTATATTTTTACTTTTAACTCATTGTAAAGCCTTCCTTCAGCTGTGCCTTATATTGTTCTCACTTCAAACCCTTTGGGATGGAGATGAGGGTGTAAAAAAGGGAGTCTGTTAAGAGAGGAGTGTGAGATGATTGGAGAGATAGATGTTATATTGGAGATTTGTGTCACAGAGTTATTAGGCAAATACTGTTTGTACCACGGAAGCATCAGCTCTGTGGGTGGGGCCATTGGCATCCCTCACAATGTGAAAGTCCAAGTC